ACTACATGCTACTTGTGCTGCGAGCACATCTGTCGGCAGTTTCAAGTCCTCCATCGTTCCACTATGCTCAATCAGCTGAACAGATCCTCTACTAGACCGTCAGTTCAGCCCTCCCCTCCTTCGATGCCCCATCTCTGGTATCTCAAGACCTTGAAAGTCAACCGGCACTGGAAGACGACCATAGAAGGGCGCAATGGAAAGTGAAAAGAAGAGTCTAAGAGCGGGAAGGAAGGGTAGAAAAGAGAAGTTTCTGCGGAGGACGATGGCACTGCTTTGTCTTTCGTCTCTATCTCTCTCCTTGTCCCCTTTCCTCTGGCCCTATCTCTTCACTTCTACAGAAGAAACAAGGCACCCACACCGTGGCACAAGAGCAAGATGCCTAATCCTAGTCATACATGCCTTTTTTATGACAGGCAACACGAACTCCTCTCGACATGAGCCAGGCTTTTCAGACTAACAGACGTCCCCTTTACTGCTGCTACTGCTACTACTAGTAATCCTTCTCTTCCTCTGCCTCTTCACATCCACACACGAGTCGAGTCCCATTCGCTTCGGTCGCCCTTGCTTTCAAGGAGAAACAACCACTACGATAAAGCAGATTGGACGAAGGACAAGGGGAAAATGGTGGCAGAGTGACAAGTTGAAGAATTAGACAACAAGAACGCCCATAATCACAAAGAGAAACAGAGAAAAACCCTATCACAAGAGCAACGAGGAAAAGGGAGACTGGTCTGTTCGCCACCATACATACAGCAGGGAGTTTTTGTCTTGTTATTTGGTTCTCGCAGCAGGTGAGCGAGCGAGCAATCGCATCTTCTCTTCCTTGCCCAGCCATGCCATTTCTTTTATGGTTTGGTGAGGACTATTTCTCTTTTGTCCCGAGCCTTGCTAGCCTGTACCCCTTGTGGTTTTCAATTGTCTTTTTCTCCTTCTCTCATACCTTGGGACAGATGACACATATATACAAAGTGCTACTCTGTCTCTATTACTCTTGTTTTCTTGTCCTTTACACCTCCGTTCTTGATCATCAAATTAACTTGTTCCTTTAGAGGAGCTGTTCAGCCATATTCACAATTGTGTGTGTTGTTGATTTTCTATGTATTCTTTTTTTTCCTTTTTCTTTCTCGGCCTGACTGGGAGAGCTCCCCTTTTTGGTTTTCTCCTGTCATGTGTTCTGTTCTCCTACCTTTCCTCGCTCTTGTTTCGTCAAATATTCCTTTTCTCGAGGAATATTCACCGAAAAGAGTGAGAAAAGTGGGACGTAGTCATTGAAATATGGTCAAAAGAAGGATATCCAGGACGTTGAGAAAGCAAACTCCCCCAGAGAGACATGAGTGGAAAAAAAGGGGGGGAGACAAAACACTTGGGCTGTGTAGAAAAAGCCGAGTTTTCAGGAAATATACAATATACATAGTTTTAACTATCGAGAGACAAAATAGCTCAGACAGGCAGGCCGAGGGAGGGGAAAAGGTCATTCGGTATAAACAGCAGCTTCAGCTCCAACTTCCAACCACGATATATTTCCATGACCCCGTCAGAAGATCCAGGATCGAAAGAGATTGGGGGGGTTTTAAAAGAGGCAATGTTGTGCTTCAGAAACGACCGACCGACCGACCAGCCTTTTTGAGTCTTGATATGGTTTGTTTTGTACATTTTCTCCCTTTCTCTTCTCTTCTCATGTCGTCTCAGTAATATTTGTTTCCCTCCTTTCCCCATCCAGAATCCTTTGGAGAATCAGGATCGAATGATGGCCTATCAGGGGGGCCTTTTTGGGGGGTGTGGGACACGGGCTTTGTGAGGAATCTGTCAAGGAAGAATTCAGCAGTTTCGAGGTATTGGTCCTTCAAATACTCCCCAGCCTCTCGACTTGGTGAGATGGTCCTGTGTGCCTGGGTTCTGAAGGCTCGGCCATAAAAGAAAACAAGTACAATTCCTCATTTCTGTCAAACCTCTTTCCAGCAGGGGAAGATGCTCTTTCTCGCGAGAAAGACAAGGGCTAGTAGAACATAACTTGAAAAGAAGGGTAGCAAAAGCGCAAGGACTCGCCCGACATGGCACCAAGGACCAAGGTCCATCGGTGAACCAGACAGGTTGCTTCTCGGGGTCATTATCCCACCCCTTTTCTTACGCTGATCGGCCTGGAGGATGCTCCAAAAATGTACTCTTAGAGCTCGAGGCGAGGCAGAAAAGTGCGCGGCGTTCATGTCGATCCGAAAAGCCACTCAGGGCTGGCAGCTGCCCAGTGCTCAGCAGCCGGCGAGTGTAGTCTCTGGTCAGGGATGGATTTGCTATTCTCTGAAGTCTGACTTTCCGTTTTTGCCGTTGCGAGCTGTGAAATGGGAGGTACATGTTTTGAGCCTCCCATTGGCAATGTCTCACTGTACAGAGTTTCGACTTTCTTTTTCGGGCCATTTTTGGCTGCTCTGCTCTGCCTTTCAATTGGGAGGTCGAATTGTATGATATTAGTGCCGTGCCGCTCCCAACTCTTTTTTTGGGGCCCCCAGATCTCCACCTGGCTTCGGTAGGGAGTGAGCATCATTGCGATTGCGAGATTTCGTTATAGGAAGCTTCAATTCGTTGTCGGGCCCGGGAGGCGGTTCTTTTCTGGGTCGTTCTAGTAAGCGGGAACCAAGTTCCTCCAATAGAGGTGATTTCTTGAATATGGAGAGAGTGAGAGAGAGAGACATACACCTTCTTCTGATTAGACAGACACTGGGAGAGACCCTTTTTTTTTCTTCTCAGCAGTTCCATTGTTGGAAGTCATCCGAGCTCACCGTCATTTAAAAGTACGCTGAGTGGCTGGAAAAGGGACCATTCATGAAGCAAGCACAGCAGGATGCTGTGATATTGGTACAAAGTACTGTGGCATCTCTCTTTTTGTGTGGGCTGTGCTGTTACAGACGGAGTTGGACCCCCCTTTTGCGAAAGGATCCACGGCTTTGCCTTGCGTCCCCATGCGACAACTCTTTTCCCTGTCTTTTTTTTTCAGGTTCGACAAGGTGTACACGGGCGCTGCGGAACTGACGCTCTGTTGCCTGGTCCAGAGACTGCCTCGCCCTGCGACAATTCGCTCAACGTGATGGCGAGAGGGAAAATGATTGACGGCAGTGCAATGAGACGAGGCGTGGGGGGGAGAAGACAACAACCTGGTCACCAAGAGGCAGGGGTCGGTGGACAAGAATCCCAAGAAGCCAGCAACAGAGAAGGGAGCGTCCTGCGCGAGAGAAGAGGGGACAGAAGGAGACAGAGAGAAAGAGGTACAGCCGGAGAGAGGAATACGACCGTAGGTGGTAGTCAGCTCACGCCATTGGCGTTGATAGTCCCGCGACCTGAACGGCGAAGGCGCAGTTCTGTCTTGTCATGGAAACCTGCCCTCCGTCCGACGACGCAGCGGCACATATCTTTTGATAGTAGCTCATTGCCTTGTTCGTCAACCCCCCAATGTCAGATCTCTCCTTGTGCAGCCATGTCCGAAAATGTGTGAGTTGTTGGCGTTCGACTGGCCATGGGACTAGACCGGCACGAAGGAAGAGGAGGAGGAACAAGACCAGATAATGGTGGCTTTCATCGGTTCTTGAAACCGGCAGGCGAAGCCGTCGCCGGTGACTGGAACAGGAGTCGACAAGGAAAATAGATACCGTGCAGATGAGTTGGTGAGATGAAGCACACTGTCGACGCCCCATGGCTTGAGGTCAGTGACTTTGTAACTGCGATCGGCAGGGCATTTGGCCAAACAAGTCGACACGCATCCCTGTGATGGATTTTTCCCTCCCCCGGACAGCCTCGCAAGCCTCGTCAACCTTGAACCCACCAGCCTCACTTCGACCATCTCGACCTTCTCGGCTGCGGTGCCCGCTGCCGGTCTAAACTCAGAGCATCGTCTGTGATCGGCGGGATCTGCGCATCTCTCGCCTTGACATGTGCACCGGGGAACAACGGGGCTTCTGCATAGTTCTTTTGGACGTCTGCGTGGGTTGTTCATTGCTATCTCAGAAAAGAAGCCTCCCAAAGCTTGCGCTGCCGCTGTATCTGACCCTGGCCTGAAACAATTTCGCACATACAGTCGCTGACGCTGCTCCCCAATCAGACTTACATGCTGCGGTATGCAACCATACAAGATACACCAAACACCACATACCAACATCTGTCATGTCTGCTGTTTACACGTTTGCTGCGTTCACAGGAAAACGTAGTTACTGGTTCAAAGCATTCCCCTGCAGAGGGAATAGCGAAGAGAAAGTTATACACTCATGGTCCCAATGTCGCCGTATCGACCTTTGCTTCACCACCTTTTCCCCCTGATCATCCCCTTTGTGCACCCCCGACCCAGGTCCCAATGTCAATACAAGGAAGGAGAAAAGGAAAAAAAAAAAAGTCAAAAGACTCTGCATGTACTGCGGTTCATTGGATAAAAGCCATTCGAAGTGGCCTGAAAGAGAAAGTCCAGAAGTGAAAAAGGAAAAAGAGAAAAAAAAGAAAACCCAATCTCTTCCAATAAATGTGATCCAGTCGCTTGATCGCTCGCTTGCACGCTCCCCATTCTTCCCACATATACATGCCTTCATACAATGAATAAGGAGATTTCGCCTCGGGGCTAGTGTCTATGTGAGTGGTCGTCTGCGATCGTCGGCGGGTGCCGCGTCCCGAATCGAGAGATATTCGTAGAGGCATCTTGCTCTCTGGAAGTCCGAAGCTGTTTCTGGTGACCAAGGTTGTGAAAACAAATGCGACTCCTGGATCGATGCTTTGTCCCTGCGCGTCCGCTGGTGGTAGATGTTCGTCATTCTCTTCCATGTATGTAATTTTCCCGTTTCTCCAATGTTGGACGCTGTTCATAAACAAATGAGTGTCGTCTTCTCTTGCATGCTAAATGCAACGGTAGCTGCGCCAGATACTTCAAAAAATGATTGTCTCAATGAGAAAAGAAAAAAACCACGACAACAACAACAAAATCAAGCATATCTCTGAGCCGTTATAGCTCTAGTGAGTCGTGTTGCCCTTTAGGTCGAGATGCCGAGAATGGTCCTCTTTTTGGAGATGCGAGGACTATCCATGATATCAATTGGGTGCATCCCTCCTGGCAGTATCGGTGCTGTTGGTCGGAGGGCTTTGATCTTCTGTATCAGTTTGCCAATCGCCAGGTAATCGTCCGGCTCTGCTACAGCTGGGTTCTGTTCCAGCAATGTTTTGGTGGCGTGCAACGCTCGAATGATATCCTCTTCCGCTGGTGTGACTGGATTGCTTATGGGTGAAGCATCGGCGGATCGTGGCAATGGTGGAGGATGCATGGCTGAAAAGCGCACCTGTTCAGGGTAGTGGATGTCGGGCACGCTCTTGTGACGTTTCATCATCTGCCGAGGGTCGATGGCGGTAGCTCGTTCCTCTGCTGTCGTCACTGTTACTGTGGTTGCTGTCAGAGAGCGTACAGGCAGTGAGGGTCGGTTGTGACCTGATGAGGATGGGCGTGAGGCTGTGCCTGAAGTCGGTGCGTGAGAGTATGTCTGGCTTCTCTGACGGTTAGATAGCCCCATTGTATCATCCGCCTCTTCGAGCATGTCAATTCCGTCTTGGTCACTGCGTGCCATTTCCACGGACATTGGGGAAATGACGGACTCTGATGTCGCCTCACGATCAAGCCTGGGTTGAGGTGTATACGTTGATTTTCCATCCCCAAAGTCGAAGAACTCGTTGTTGGTCTCGATCTTGACCGAGGGTTCTTCGATCTGCTCCTCGATTGCTGACATCGGAGGAGATACAAGACCACTGGACGACGCGGGTGAGCCGTCATGAGGCGTGTGTGACAGTGAAGTCGAGCTGGAATCCACAAAGGTCGAATCTGGATCGGCCTTGGGCGCGTTGAGCCGATTCTTGCGTTTGAACTTCTCCAGCCAGTCGGCACTAGAGACCACCGCTTGGTCACTTCTGCTGAATGAGAAGACCTGCGCCTGTTTTCGAAGATCCTCATCCGTGATGGGGAGGCCCTTCTTCTGCTGGTTTTTGACCCAGTTGGTCAGGGTCTTCTCAAAGTCCGGTAATTTGGCCTTGTTCTTTTTAATGGGGCTAACACTCTCCTCTTTGGACTGCGGATTCATGTACTTGTCCCGCTGTCGCAGTATCTTCGACACCGTGCTACACAATATTAGTCCTCGGGTTACGATCCACCAGCATAATGTATCGAGCGTACCTCCTCTCCACGTTGAACTTTGCTAGACAGGGTCAGAACCAACACTGAAGTCGAGGACGGTTACGTACCTCCAATCTGAGTCTGCTTCATGGTCGGGTTCTGCTCGGCCTCAATGCACATCTGACGACGTTCCTCATCCGTCAACTTGCGACGAGACGTGTTCGTCTTGGCACTGGTCGGTGTCATATCAGATGTTGACCCTGCAGACAATGGAGTCTGCATTGGTGCAGCAGGCAAAATTGACGGCTGGTAGGATCCCTGGGGTTGACTGGCCAGCATACTTGGCCACAAAACGTTGTTCGGCATAACGAGGGGCGGTGGCATTGGTGCATGCGAGGATGCAAATGGCGAAGGTCGTTGTATAGGGTAAGCCGGCTCCATAGGCATCGGCGTGTTATGTTGGTGTTGGTGGTGGTACTCAAATTGCGGGAATTCCTGCATTGGCGAGATCGTCGTTTGAGGGCTGGTGGAATAACCATTTGGAATGCCATTTGGCATGTTGTTGGGAATACCTATCCAACCATTTTGGCCATAGCCAGTATGCTGCGAATCTTGACTCTCTGGTGGCATGTTCAACAGGACCAGCATTGGTGTTCGAATTATATGGGTGATACTATGCTGACCGAGGCACCAATATGATTTGACAACGCATGCCACTGATCCTCAGTGATGCTCTCACACGACACACGTAGCCTGCGGTCCCAGAAGCCTGGCTTGCACGACCCCCAGAGCCTTGAGACCTTCAGAGAGAGGATCAAGGTACAGAGGGTGTTCAGAGACCGACGGGGCGTGAGTGTGGACCTGAAATCAAGCTTGAGGGGGCAGCACGAGCATATGATAAAAGAGGGAACGTCTTGAACGAGGTGTGTGTGTGTGGGGAGCACACCTGATGATGAGGCCCAGAGAGCTGCAACTGTGCAGGCGAGGTCAAGCTGGACGAATTGAGGTTAAGTTCAGAACTGAGGATGGACGTCGACCGGGGGGCCCGGACAGGCTTCAAGGAGAGAGTCGACTAGGGCTTGCTTTGAAGGCGCGAGGGGGGCGTTATGTGGTGGAAGCTTGGGCCGCAGGTGCTTAGGACAGGGTTGCTGTATGGGTTGCTTTCTGATATTGCTTTGTCCTTGTTTGGATTGTGATGCTGCACAAGGCGTGGTGGTCCTGGATGTGTGCCCACACCTCCAGATGTATATGCTTTGGAAATCCACTGAGAGAAAAAGAGTCTCGATATGCTTTGAGGGGAGCCGTTGGGAGGGCTTCCGAGCGCAATCCGCACGTCTGCAGGTGGCAGACTAAAGGACTTCAGGGCGGCAGACGAGCCTATAGCCTATTATGCAACGGCTTAGGGACGGTTAGCGGCAGCCCGGTAAAGGAACGGCCCTCACAAACTCTGCCCGCTAGCAGTGGATTTAGTATTGAGGAGGGGGGGAAACCTTGTAGGCAGGCGTAGGGATGAACAGGGCATGCTTTGGGGGCGTGTCTAGGGTGTATCGCACCGTCTTGCCAATCCTTCTTTCGCTTGGACCCGCCTTATTTCTCTCTCAATCCTTGACACGCCACTGTGAGCTGCCCCGTAGCGTCAACGCCGGGCGGGCAAAAATTGGTGCTTTGGTGAGTCGAGATCGTTACCCGAAAGGAGGGGGCCTCTTTGTGTGTCGCAGCTTCACTAAAGGTATACGACAAGGAAGCGAAGGGCAGGCCGAGAATCGGTTGTTCTTCCGTGGATGTTTCGAGATGGGGAGGGAGGAAGACAGACTAGGATACCACGGGCAACCATTTGTACAAATGCAGACTCTCTTGCACGACCCAGGTAGGTCCCAATCCTGGTGTCCCCTTAGGGCATCTCTCCAGACCAGGACCAGTTGAGATTCATAAGCCCCACGCAAACTCGCAAAAATACCGAGCGGCGTCGAATCTAGCGGAGCCAAATGGTTGACTCGAGGATAAGTCCAAATCAGTCGGATGCGAAGACCTGCAATAGAGGCTTCAGCGCTCCGGCTAGCCTCGTCCCTTCCTGGACGGTCCGCTAGCGACCGAGCATGACGCGGGTGATCTGAGGCCACAAAGTGATTCCCTGCGGACCACAGGATCTCCCATCTGCACAATCGCATGGCTCGCCCCTCCGTTTTAAGGGCGAGTCGTTAAGGGACTGGCCCTCGCCATTCTCGTGGCGTAAGTAGCAAAGACCAGCACGACCAACGGCCCCAGAATTTATTGTCCTTGGGCAACCCCTGTCACCTTGGTACTGTACAGTAAAGCCAAACAATCTGACGGGTATTGTGTATTATTGCATTCTACTCCGTATGCGTGGGGGCAATGAGGACGTGGGCTAATCCCGTTGTTCCTTGTGCGACAAAGGCGTGGGTCCGTGGAGAGAAGCATGTCTAGACTGGCTGGGTGGGTTTGGCGAGTTAGAAGTAATAGGAAGCCCGTAAGGAATTGACAGATGCTCGCATTGGACTTGATTGAGTGGAGGTCGTAGCCACCCAGCAGTGCCTTTCCTCCTCTTGACTCGGTGGGCTCCACGATGGCAGCTGCGCCAGTGTTGGCTTTGGCGACTCCCTGTCCGAATATGGGCAGCGCCAGAGGTACTGGAGAGAAATGACGAGGAGCCAACAGGCACACGAAACGAGTGTCGGGTGTCGTGGTTGGCGGGAAGGGAAGGACTCGGCGGCAAGATAAAGGAAAAAGGACAAATAGGACGAGGGCGCCCACAATACGGAGTACTTTGGTGGGTATGGGGAAGAGAACCTCTGAGACTCCTGGTTCTGATCGTGAAGCCCAATCGGGCAGGCGAAGAAAGGTCTTGCACTCCTTGTGACAGGAAAATAGTCATGCTATAGACTTTTTTCTGGTCCCATCCAATCTCTATGGTTGAGGCCAGTGTCAAAAAAGCAGGGAAAGAGAAATATGACGTTTTAACGGGGTTGATGGTGAAGCATTAGTTGTTGTTACCCAATTGCCCAGTCCTTGCCATGTACCTCGTACTGCACCCAATCCGTTAATCCGCTTTGATTCAGTGTAGATTTCCTGTGCGGTACAAAGCAGGAAAGCTTCACAAAATTCTGTAACCAGTCTTTTGTTCGTTTCTATCCTAACCCCAGAGTATCTGTCTAGAGCCTGTCCTCCCACACCTTCCAGCGCCTCTCCTCTTCTCTCCTCCCTCGCCCACGACGTCATTGGCGCATGCCCTGCCAGGGGATTCTGAGTCCCTCACCACGAAAAGAGGCAGTCCGTATATGTAGGTCCACAATTTCAAGAGGGTGCCACGTCTAGCAGGAGAACAAGGTTGCATGGAAAAGACCGCAAGGCAAGGGATCCCTCCAAACTCTGATGCCTCAAGCAGCAGGTCGGTACGCGGCGAGGCGGACAGCTTGGTATGTTCGTTGTCCTTACTCAAACCTGAGAGCGGCAGACTCGGGAGGGCCCCGAGCGTGTTCGTGGCGCTTTTAGGTGGAGGGCCAAATCGCAAAAGCCCATGAGTGAAGCAAGCAGGACAAGACCAGGATGGTCATTGGCACCAAAAATCCCCCACCAGCATTTCGGACAGTCGACTAGACAGGGGATGTCAGGACCGTCGATGTCTGCACAAATTCGAGCTCTCGCTCGGAGGGGTAAGAAAGAGGTGGATGGAAATTTGCTATCAAGGCCCTCTGTTGGCTCAGCTGACGACATCCCCCTCTCGACGCAGCTGGAGCTGAGTGCAGTTCCACAAGAGCAAGCACAACCACAAACTGATTCATGGAAGGGAGGGTATAGCTTCCAGGACAAGCAGAGCAGCCCGTCCATGCATTTCGAGGAAGCTCCTCTCTCCTGCAGTCGAGTCTTCTACCGCCCTTGTCAATGGTCGCGGAGATGTGGTGCCGGGTGGCCGATGGCCTAGGTACCAGCATATCAGAAGCAATGCTGACCCTCCATGACCAAAGTCGTTTCCATGCAGCTTTGACCCCTCGGTCGCGCCTTTGAAATCACCCCGTTGAGCACCCGTATTTTGTAGCCTGATCTTTGTAGCTCGTGCTCCGAACTGCCTGCGTGTGGGCGGAGAATTCAGCGTTGGGCTCATGCCAGGGCAGGGAGGGAATTGCAAGCCTCCAGCTCAGATCCTGGTCGCCCACCCCGTCCGCCTCATCCACCTTTTCCAGCTCGAGCAGCTTCTCCGCACTTGAGGAGCAGGGATCCTCAATCGGGACATTCCAACCGCCATTAATCAATAAACTGTTTCAAAGAGAAAGTGAGCGGGCTCCTCTCCTCAACGTCTTCTCCTTGCATGTCGTTATTGGCTGACGATGAGGCGGACCACAGTTCCACCCCTGCCGCTTTTACGTGCTCCATTGTGTTCCAGTGTAATGACGTCGATGGCATGGTAGCGTTTCTATACTGCTATACTTCTTTGGCGGCCAATAGATTCGGCTTCCAGGTGGATCATGACACCTAATGCAGACCAGGGACATCCAAGTTCCTCACTGACTAGCATGGGGACATTTCCCATGTGAGACGGGAGCTCCGTGAAGCGAGAGCTCTTTATCCATTGTAATAACGTTGGGCACGAAATCTGTTCGACCGCATTCTTGCCCGCTGCGCTTAAGGGGTAGGGTTTGAGTAGGCTGGCCACCATCGTCGTCGCAGCATGGTGCTGTTGTCCACCCGTTTGGGCAGCAGAATCCCAACCCCTGATGCTGATCACCAACCGCAGGCTAAGGAATGTGATGTTCTCGATCCGAAGACGCGGGGATGGCGGAAGGGTGAGGCATCTAGCCTCATTGAGCAGGAAAAGGGTCCGTGGTTGATGGTGTCAAACCTTGAGGCGGCCTCAATCCTCCAATGCATCTTGTTGAGATTTTGATAGGCGTTCAGGGTTAGCAAGCTGAAACGAATGGAGAGTTTGACTGCATCACTTTTTGATGATAGTGACTAGATGAACAGCACTGTCAGCATGCCAGGGACAAGATTTGAGGACAGGCACGTTGCTGAACTCACTGATATCTTCATCGGCCAGTTCATGCGCAAGTCCTACCCGTTGGGGTTGGTGCTTGACAGATCTCCCATATACAATCGCATGCTTGAATTGCTCTACGATCGTCTTGTGGATGGCATTGCACTAAAAATAGATTAGTGGGCGAAATATCTCCAGACGACTTCGGGCCAGTGACTTACAAAGTCTTCCACCGTTGAAGCATTCTTTCTCAATACGACCGGGGCACTGTAATCGGGCTGTTTCCCCTTCGGTTTTGTGTAGATACGTTTTAATTGCAGCTTTTCCCACATCTGTTCCAGGAGCTCGTCAATGTTCCACCCGTGCTCGGAACTGATGGGAACGGCGTTCGGGATGCGGTAGAGTAGATCCAATTCCTCGATGGTTATCGAATCGATTTTGTTGAGGGCGTATATTACGGGAATGTAACTCCTGCTCTTGGCTTCTAAGACATCGATCAAATCGTCAATCGTGGCGTCGCAACGGATGGCAATATCGGCCGACGAAATCCGATACTCATTCATGACGGCTTTGATTTCGTCATGGTCGATATGTGTCAGGGGAACTGTACTCGTGATATTCAAGCCGCCTTTGTCCTTCTTCTTGAAAACGATGTTGGGGGGTTCCTTGTTGATGCGGATGCCAAACCCCTCCAGCTCCGCCTCAATGACCCGCTTGTCCGTCAGCGGTTTGTTCACATCGAGGACAATGAAAATCAGGTGGCAAGTTTTGGCGACGGCAATGACTTGACGGCCACGACCCTTGCCGTCTTTTGCACCCTGAATGATACCGGGCAGATCCAGCATCTGAATGGCGGCACCATTGTACAGGACTTGGCCGGGGACGGTAGTGAGGGTGGTGAATTCGTATGCAGCGGCTTCAGAGTGTTGGCCTGTCAAGCGGCTCATCAAGGTGGACTTTCCCACCGAAGGGAACCCAATAAAGCCGACGGATGCAACACCAGTTCTGGCAACATCAAATCCACTGCCACCACCACCGCCAGAGGATGACGGCGTCAAGAGCTCCCTCTTCAGTTTGGCCAGCTTGGCCTTGAGCTGGCCCAGATGAAAAGAAGTGGCCTTGTTCTTCTGGGTCCGAGCCATTTCGGCCTCGATCTCCTTGATTTTGTCCACGGTAGTAGCCATCGTGGGCTTTCCAAGCGCAATGTCCGAAGGGGGCAATTACCGATCCGGGATGAGGACGCGAATGAGGCTGAGGATCGACGACCACTGAGGCAGGACGGGGGTGCGTTCAAGGACTTCTGGGTAGTGATATTTGGGAACGAATTTCCACAGTTGGTGTTTGGTGAAGGATGGATGGGAGGAAGGCAGCTATCGGAGAAGAGCGAAAACGAGACAATAGGAGAACGCTGTGTAACAATCCTTTGCGACCGCTGTGCGACGTGAAATGATCAAGAACACGATGTTGAAATGGCTTTGTACAACCACCACCACATGGCGGTTCGAGACAAAAATTGTGTGGACGGGTGCCCCGCAAAGAAAACATTAGTAGGCGTGGCAGAGCGCAGGTGAGGGGGTCGCCGATGAGGTAATGGATTGGGCGTTGTCTTGGTGCCACGGCGCCCTCTTGGTCGCCCCTGGTGCTCCCCCTAATTTTCGCATGTTCCTTATCCTGGGCACCTACACACGAGCCAGGCCCCGTGACCCTATGGTCCCGTGACTTCTTGCATCACGTGGAAGGTACGTACCTCATCTCTCCTTCGTACTTCGTATAACTTCCTCCCACTGTTCCCAATCAGGCTGGTCATTCTCACCCTTTGCCACTCACTACCTTGAGCCACTCACAGGGCACAGACCCGATCACGCAATCGCTCGGCCTCGAGACTGGACAATTCCTTTTCATCAATCCTCATAAATAGCCCATATATCTCGCTCCCAAGGGTTCTTGTTAGCTCTTCAAGAGATGGAAGTGGATATATCAGAGCCTTGCATGCCAGCCTTGTCATCGTCACCGTCGCTCAACCTCAGACCTCGCCGTCGCTGTCTCTACAAAGCCCATATTGCAGGTATCGTGCATTCTCTGCGGCCCTCCTTCTCGTTTAAGCTTTGGGCTCGCCACTCTAAATATGCTCAGCGGGCCAACCACTAATCTCGATCGTCATGCTCGACCAATCTTTTGGTTGCCGATGACCCCGAGTCACCCGCTCTTGCTCGTCACCGTCTTTGGAACAGGTAGGCAAAAGCTGGATACGAGGTCAAAGATTTTACGTTTCAACATGCCACGACCGGCTCCCTAGAGGGACCAGGAGGGGTCCTGAAGGCACTTGGCCCATATCTTGAGTCGATCTCGTCCATTCACACTGTCGCTGTGATTCCTCTCAACCCCTGATCATGAGACAGGAGGGCTGCGTCTGCCGGGTATCAGAACGGAGAAAACTTATTGAATCTACTGCAGTCTTACACGCTGTTCGACTCTCTACATGCAGCAACTTGCATTCTTATCTAAAGGGCAAGTCTCAATCTTACACCGCCTTGATCGTCCTTCCCTCCTTTTTATTCTCACCGATTTTCCATATTCATCTTCTACTTTTCGCCCTTTCTGCCCTTTCTACGCTTTTATTCCTTATCTTTTTGTTCAAGGCCTGCGCAGTCTTCCGTTCTACCAGTTCAAGCAATAACACATTGTCGAAAATGCTTTCATACCAGCAACCACCTAGCACCACAGGTCCATACCTCCCCGAGCCTGAACCGGCCTTTCCATCTCACCACTATGGTCAGCTCAACCGCATTGACCCCTGTGACGACTTCCACCTCCTTGTTCGAGCTCTCTCGGATGTCCTTGGCCCTTCTTCAGGGATCAACTCTGATGATGTGGATGAAAATGAATTGATACGCCTCATGGAACAATACGTTTCCCAAGAAAGCCAATGGCGCCATTATGCCTTTGCCGATTTCAGCAGAAACTACACCCGCAACCTCGTGGACGAAGGAAACGGCAAGTCCAACTTATTGGTGATTGTCTGGAACCCGGGCAGGGGTAGTCCGATACATGATCACGCGGACGCTCATTGTGTGATGAAGATTCTCAAGGGGAGCCTCAAGGAGACATTGTACGCCCTTCCGCCCAGCTTGACCGAAAAGACAGGGTCGAATGGGGCTTTGATGCCACCACGGATTGTCAAGGAGGCGACGTACCACGAAAACGAAGTCACTTACATCTCCGACAAGATTGGGTTGCACAAGATATCCAACCCTTCCTACGATGAAGTGGCCGTGTCCCTCCACCTTTACACCCCGCCGCATGCAGCCAATTTTGGCTTTAATCTATTTGACGAGAAGACGGGGAAGCCAACGCACATCCAGCAAGCAGGATTCTTCTCGGATCGGGGGAAGCCAATCGAAAAGTGCAAGTTCGGATCGTTTTGAACCTGGTTGTCGATCAATGTCAGCGTCCTTCTCGTTTGCCACGATCCAAAACACAGTCGTCAGCGGCTCGTTGAGACCAGGTGTTTTTAACAACATTCGCTCAAGTGTGAGATCTGGATTTGACGACTCGATGATTTGGGTGGTCTCCAAAGAGGCCTGACTTTTTACGCAAGTGTTTCTTCTACGGGGTTGATTAGGTATTTATGACATGCGTTCAGCTCCTGAGTGGTAGGAGTATATTTACGATAGCTACCACCTTCGTTTTCATCATCACGGGGACTGAACTGGGACAGGCGATTGGCGCCATGGATGATGTTGATGTTTAGCCCGAAGGCAGAAGGACCTACACAGGATCCTCTGGAGGGTTTGCCTGAGAATGTCTCTGTTGGGTTTTTGAAGAAGGGGGACCACCTTGTCCTCCTCCCATGTCGCCTGATAGCAAGCCCTTGGGTTTTAAGAACGCATTCGTGTCACTCTCTCTCTCTCTCTGTCTCTCTCTCCCTTCTTTTGTCTTATCCTGTCCCACCACAGCATACGTGCCCCCTTTCCCCGGAACGGGTTCAGCATTCGCTCTTAGGGACAGCATTCTAAGATCCTGAACTGCTCTTTCTTTTTTCTTACAACAAAGGATTTCTCCACCCCAACCTATCACAATCATGGAGGCGAATTTTTGTCCTCGATGTTTTGGGATCTTGGATCTTGGGTCTCACGTCAGGCCGCTTTGCTTGCTTACTTTTTTTTGACATTGGTTTTTTTGCCTCGTGTGCCTCGTCATGGGCCTGAAGATCCAACCTACCTACACATGGTGCCATGGTTTATGGCCCAGGGGACAATTCCCACCTTGAACGAATGAGGCGTGCTTTGTCCCTGCAGCTGTTGTTCCTGGTTGGATCCCTTCTCCCAAAGCATGGCTTCTTCCCTACTGCCGTATAGGTGTATAGATGTGTTGGTGTGTTGGTGTTTATGTCATCTCATCTCATTCCATTCCTTCGTTCTCCTCGCTCTCTCTCTGACACACACACTCTCACACACTCACACACCTTTTTACAGGCTGGCGGGAGTGTGAGCCGTCAGTGTGAGTGTGACTGGTGCGATAACCTGTCCGAGCTCGAGCTCGGGCTGGAGCTGGAGCTGGGTCAGGCCTCACATGTGCTCACATGTGCTCACATGTGCTACCCTTGTCCCCTTCTCTGACAGCTCGTCACCCACAAAGACACATAATAAATACCAGACTTAAGACGCCTCGATCCCGTCTTTTTTTTTTCACTTTTTGTTTTCCCTGGGATCTCAAATCATTTCGTGTTCCCCCGCTCTCTACTCTCCACAACCCGGAATGTTATGGGTCGAAAAGGGCAAAAAAACAGAATGTGTATGGTTAACGGTTAAAGAGTAACAAGTGATACCCGAATTTGAGGTGACACTACAACTACAAAAGACAGGCGCATCCACCCGGTCACAGAGATATATATCATCGTCACTCCGAAGAGGTTCTACGCAGCATAGAGCACCTTTGCCCGAAGAATCAGTCCCTCCAACTACTCCACTCGCAGGTTCTGACGCCGGAAACTACCAAGTATCAGCATCTATTCGAGCCTCGCCACGAACGACGACAAAGAACACCAGAAAGCATGACATACATGTCCACCTTCCCATCCCATCTCACATCTCAGCGTCAACCACAAACTTTCCCAGGAGCCCACGCGATACCACAGTCACAATTACAGCCAGGATCCCGCCCTCGACGCAGGACAACCCAAGCGTCGACAGCGACCCAATCATCCACCTCGACCAGGTCCCTCAAGTTCTTCCGTTCCTCGACAAAGAGATCGGCCTCGGTGTTCTCGTCCTCGTCGTCGTCCTCGGAAACCAGTGACTCAGTCAAGGAGGAGAGACGAGTGCATCGTTGGGGACGCAAGGCGATCAACGGTCTCGAAAGAGCCTTCAGCGCCTATCCCCAAGGAACATCCGTGGGGCTTGTGTGGTACATTGGCTTCTGAGTGCTCGGTCTTTTCGGGCGCGTGTTTGACAGGCCAGCCTGTGGTCTTGAAAGGACGGACCAGTGAGAAGCTGAGAGGATGGTGACGACGGTAGTGGAAAACGGGGGGACGTCCCCAGCCGCTGCCACTATGCAGCAGCGATCTCGGAGCGAAAAGAGTCTCTGGGACAAAGTGGCAGATGTGGTGTGCTTGACGAACTGCACTGGAAGCCGGAGGAAGAACAGCAGCAAAAGGGACAAAAGGAAAAGGAATCCCCCCTCTCAGTTCCAGCTCGACGAGATGAAAGACATCAACTGGAGCACCTCCACCCTCGGGATGGAAACCGGCCTCAACATGAGCACCAGGCAGGGCTTCAGCATCGAGGACGCGAGGGAAATCCCGCTTTCGTCTCTGCCGTGGATGCCTCCACCGCCGTCGCCGGCTCTGCTACCGTCTTCGCGAAGCAGCCGCAGACGAGACACAGGAAGAATCAATACCGAGGGACCGATATACCGAGACAGGGATTGGGAGTATCAAACTTATGGTGCATGGGTTGTATTTTGACAACGAGGGACCTCGCCGGAAACTAGGATTGCCTTGATGGCACTGCGGGTATGCAAACAATATCGGTCTGACTTGGGATAGGATAGGGATAGAACTTCTCGTCACACAGGTTGTGGGTGAGGAGAATGGATAGGGTGTGCATTCCTTAAAGTTCTTCTCTTTTCTCAGCGACAAAAACACAACATGCTTTGTTTACGCTCCTTGCGCCTTCGCGCCATCCTGTTCTGTCTTCCCCTGCCAACTTGGTGCTCGTGGCCGTCGTGATCCTAGACACCATCGGTACAACCTGGTCTGGCATCTGCTTCCTGGACCTCGATTTTGACCGTACCGAGCAATGCCATGTCAACGAAAGCCCATGCTGATAGCAAGGATATTGGAAGAGGACAGGTCCCACAATGGCCTTACCAGAATCCTGAACAGAGTGTCCAGAAGGTGAGATTGTGATCCAGACAATATGCTCTGGCACCCTTCCTAAACCAGGGGTGACGTCTGCGCGGACAGGATTCCTGTGATTGGGAATGGAACGGCTTTGCACTCTTTGCCGTTCTCCCCAGAGGCGTAGGCGTGGTCCATGTCATTGCTGGCCTGACATGATAGGACTTCTCCTGATAATAAGCTTGTGCCTGAGGCAGATCATTCTGGCGAGCCTCAAATGTTGTTCGTAAGGTTGAGAAAAGGGCTCTTGACTCCTCTTCCACTGCAGGCTGCTCTTGTCGTAACCAAGGGAAAACTCCCGCCCAAGATCTTGCCTATCCCGACGACTGCCAACCTACCATTTTCGGAACGGTACAACACTTGAGACATGACACACTTAACTGATATTGGACTTGCAAAAGCCAACTCATCGGAAGATGCCATGGAACCACAGATTCAAGTTAAGCCTCTTCATCATGCGGGCCTTGGTGGACCTCTTTCTCATTCACAACCGGCAAATCCAGGTCGATCACAACAGGCTTATGGAATTTCTTGCCGCCCTTGTGAGGCCAGTTTGACGCCATGTAAGCCGCATTGACAATACAGGTCTCCGCCCTTCCCTCTCGACCAGAAAGTGCTTCTTGGTCAGATCTCAGGCTTGATGCTGGACCACCCTGACCACGAGTCCCGTCATGGCTGGTACTCGGAGAATCTGGCGTTGAGGATATTGGCACCTTAGCCTTCTCAAAGTCAGGAAAAGGCGGCGTTGAGAGAGACGGGGCGTTGGGGATTGATTGGCATTTGTCCTGCTCATCGGTGTTGGCATCATCAACAGTGCCATCAACCTCAACACCCCGAATCCCCGACCGTTGTTTTGTTGATATCAGATTGCCAACGCTTCCATCATTGCGCAATGCCAGAGACTTGGCTCTTGACGACAGATCGACGGTGAATTGCTTCTTGGAACCCGGCTCCGGGTCCTCCCACCTTCGGACGCTCTGTTCTTTGTATCTGAGGTTGGGAGAGGATAAATCCCATGTGACAGCCTCAACACCATAGGCCTCGTGAATGTGCCCGCAGACGAACAACCTGGGGCGAACCCTCCACAAGGTTTGACGGAGGATTTCGCATCCTGCTGTTCCACGTTTACCGCATTCGTCGCAGTGGAATTTGGCGGGCGTATGCGTCACTACAATATCTGAATCTAGGGGAATCTGATCCCATAGTCGAGGAGCAGTTTCTGGCGCGTAGCCAAAGGCCCAAAAACCATGTGCTGGCGAATATGGGGAGCCAAAGATCTTGAGGAACGACATCAGGCCTCCCCCATGATCGATACGAATCTGTTTGGCCTCATGGTTGAGAAAAACAACCGAGGGGTCGGCGCGGAGTAAGTCGAGGCAGCGTTGAGGATCTTCCCGTCTCTTATTGTGGAAGTAACCCCCGTACTCTTGATAGAATGGAGCATCGCAGGTAATGTCGTGGTTCCCACAGACGACGATCTTGATCTGAAACTGCAATTTCCTGATCCAGTCAACAGTCTTTTGAAGCTCTGAATATGTGCCTTGGTTAGTGAGATCGCCTGCGTGAACGAGGATGTGCCCAGCGGGCAGCTGAGGGGTCTGATTGTGGGTATCAGATATACAAACAATGCGCGTCCGTCTGGTAGCCATTCTTGAGGATAATGATGTGCTCGGTGAGAGAGTCCGTTAAGCAGGAGGGAGTCTCCCTTTTTTCCTCTCCAAGGGCCATGAGATCCAACCTGCTGCCTGGCAGTTGCAAGTGACTTATTTCACAGTCTGACGGTGGCTCTCAATGACCTTTCCAACGGAGGGAGCAGCTACTCGTTGTTTTTCCATCCCCTTTCAATCCCTACTGTCGCTCTTTCTGACAGTTCTCTCTTTTCATACTCTCTCAATCGCGAAACCGAAGGATCAGCCGAGTGGCGATAGGCAGAGGCGAACGTAGTTGGGTGGCTTTTGTTCCTTGCATTAGTTTCCTCGCTGCAGAGCTTGCATATCCGAACCTCCAACCGAGGAAGAACACGTTGCAAGGAGATAAAAACAAGTACTTGTTGCTGGGGGAATAGAGTCTTTGCTGTTCAGCTTGTCATGATGCACGAACAGCAGACAGCAGCAACAACAACCAGGTACGGAACTCTAGAGAGGGCGATCGATGGAAATGTGACGACTTCGGCCTCAATGAGGGCTAGCTGAGGGGCAGCCTGCAATTCTGGAGAAGTGGATGATCGTTGATCTTACCAAGGAGGGAGCAAAGACCACCAGAGAAATAGGGGGGAGTCGGGGGGCACTCGGGGGGGCACTAGAGGGGTTAAGCCTCAAACACCGATGCCCGAAGTGCCGGTCTCTGACGCTTTTCTTTAACTGGAAATAGCGCCCATATCTGAAGCCTTAGTGCCTGATGAACTGGGAGATCAGGCTTAGGCAAGGATCTCCTGGGTCGAATCATAGGCGGCAGAGTCATGCCCCCTTTCCCACACAACAAAAGACGCGACACGGGCACCAGGGCATGCGGCATTGAGACCAGCAGTTGTCCTGAGATATCACACTTCCCATCACAATCCTCCGAGGCTTGCTAGTTGCTGGGACACGAACCTAGACGAGCGAGAATGAGGCAGCTCACAGGCTCACGGGCCTAGACTCCTCCCTCCACTATAGATTAAGAAGTAGCGATGCCGTAGACTTGTTGCGAGCTTCTCTCTCTCCCCCATTTCTTCCAGGAGATCCCACGCCCTCTCTCGAAAGAGATGGACAAAGAGAAACAAGTGCTGAAAGTGTCGTTGTAGGGGATTTCACCATCCACAAGCGAGACGGGGCTAGCAAGGGTTGGATGATCCATGGATCAAATGAGCTGCGGCGAGCGCACATGGACGACACGCTCACCACCAAACCTTCACCTTCACCTTCAACTTCACCTTCACTTCCACCCCAGATTTCGACTTCGACCTTGACCACTACCACATCATATCCTCCTCCTCCTCATCATCACCATCGTTCTCCCCCCTTCTATACACTAGATACCCGGGAGACCCGTCATGATCTTGATGCTCGTACAACAACCGATTTCCCACCGCGTCCTCCCTACCCCCATTTCTATCCGGCCCGCATTGCAGATGCCAACCATGACTTGACATTATTTCGGCCTCCGTTGCGCAAGAAACCCAAATTGTCCTCCAATGCCCCAGATCCCAATTCATCATCCGTGCTGCAGCCGTCCCCTGGAATGCGCAAGCTAGTAGGAATCTCAAAGACCTTGAGCGTTCCCTCATTCAACATCTCCCTCGACCACGACCCGAACGACAATCGCCCCTCCTCGTCCTCCGGGATCAGCCAGCCGTCAACTCCCCTGCATCGAACAAACTCTAATACGCTTCAGCGATCTCCTTCACAGAAACGACCTCCTGCTTCACACAGCAGCTACGGCGTCGAGACAGTCTGTGGCCCACCTCCGTCATACAGCACTCAGCGAACGCTATCCCAGGACCGCATCCGGCTGGATCGAAATCCATCCACGAGATCTACCACCGAGACAACGCGTGATTCCTCCCCTTCAAAGGCCAATGAACTCATCTCTGCTGCCGAGCCTGCTCCAGCGCGATTGTCGCCCGTGAAACCAGACCAGACCCCCTCGACCACTGACTCCTCCGCGGACGAGGCTACAACGCTGGAAGTATCTAGCCCGGAAACCGCAGACACACAGAGTGTGCTTACCCCTAACTCGACCATGAGTAAAGAACAAGCCGCGGGCGTGCTTCAGAATGATCTACAGGAGAAGGAGAACTCGGACCCCCAGTTGCTGAGACCAGTACCTTCGGAGGACGATAGCAAGGGTTCGAGCAGCGATGAGAAAAAGAGCGAAGACTTGTTTTTGAATATTGCACGAACAGACGCGTCGCGTGGGAGCCAGGTCCAACCCAAACTTGACAAGAGACGATCCAGAGTTTCACTTCCTTTCTTTTCGAGTACACGGCCTTCGACCGGGTACAAATCTTCTCCCATCCAGGAGCGATTCGACACTTCGAGTGTTGCAGGTCGATCAGAGGCACTGAATTACTACAGCAAACGAGCTTCTCTGGGGCAACATGTACCCGGCGCGCTCACACGGTCGTATACTCAAGAAGCCTCCATCCGAGATGGGGCGCTCGAGACACAGAGTACACATCCAACGGATTTACCTCGACGAGCCACATCAAGACGATATTCAACGGCAAATTCAAACACCAACACCAATACCAACACAGAACCAGTACGTGCGTATTCCCGCCCAAGTACGGCGCGAAACAGTCGCTTGGTCTCGGATTCTGCATTTCTTGATCGCCCCCGAGTACCCGACCACAATGCCACCGAGTCCACCATCTCCACAACCGCTCCCTCGACAGTTTGGGACGAGTTGGATGACTTGAAATCGAGAATCAGGAAACTCGAGCTTACTGGGAAGCTCCCGCCGTCTTCGGCTGCCGCAATGACCACGTCAGAGAGACCAAAGACAGCCACTACTGCTGCGACCACCATGTCGTCCTCTCCAAAGCACAAACCAACTGTGGCGCCGTTGCAGTCTGCGATTGAAGGGATTCCGTCTAACATCCACCCGAATCTCCACGAGGCCCTAGGTAATGCCAAAGCTGTCCTCAATAATGACGTTTATCAAAAGCTACAAGCAACGGCTCAGGATGCCTTGCAATTGTCCATGATGATGAATCCAGAGGGGCATAGCGGCGCTGCCAGCACTCTTGGGATCTCCTCGGTTTCGGAACGTCAGATTCGTCGACGGACGGAAAGCATGTGTCGAAGCTTGACCGAATTGGCCATTGCAATTCTAGCAGAGCAAAAACAACCTCCACAGCCTGTGACCAGACCGGGTAGTCGTGATGCTTTCCAGTCGACGTCTACGGGCTTGCGGAGCCGTAGATACAGCAACGAGCCCAATGATCGACCTCCGGTCACCTCTCGTGTCCAGTCGCGCCTAGAAAGTCGACGAACCAGCGCACCACTCGGCGCCACGTTGAATGCACAGCCAACCTCGCCCGAGAACACTTATCAAACACCACCTACAGCCTTGCCTCAAATATCTAGCTCCTCATCGACACGACTTGGACGGACATCTACTACCTTAGTACGTAGTAGGCGAACTCCCGGGTACAATATGGATGGTACGACGGACGACGAGGAAAGTAGCCCTTCAATCCGCCCAGTGAGCCGGGCTATGACGGAAGTGAGCACATACCGCCAGGCAGCGAGAGATCGAGCAGCGTATTCGAGAGAATATACAGCCCAACACCCCATGCCCCAACACCCTGTCCCTGCAGCGCTTGAAACGACCACCGTGACCAGAAGTCCACTTCCTGCTCATATCAGCACTCATCTAGTCCCGAGGCGCAAGTATGCTTCCCCGTCGTCAAACGTGAGCAACGTGGGTACTCAAGATCAAACCCCTGTGACACCCAAAGAACCTTGGGGTCGAATCACGATTGTCCCAGCTGTTGCATCGAGCCCGATAGAGGCCACACCAGAGAGTCAGGTTTCTATTCGGCCTTCCGGGACACGAAGAAGTCTCGGCTTCACGAGTAGGATCAGCAGTGTCAGTAGTCGACTTCGAGCGGCAAAAGCAGAGCGGAATGCCACGACGAGAGAAGCGACAGAGGCACGAGGAATGAAAGATATTGCACCATTGAGGCAAGAATTGGATAATACCATGCCGTTGGAAAGACAGGGCTCTGGACAGAGTGTTGAATCTTGATGAGCATGTCTCATCGCCCCCTCAAATTGTATCATATTTTTTGTACAATGGATATCCCGGGAAGGCAGTCCTTCTCCATTGACTTCGCCGACACCAGCCGGCGAGGAGCTTCACTTCTTGGGCAGGTCTGGAATGAATATAGAATTGGCCTAGTTGGACTTGTTCTGCAAGTGGCAGTTTGTTTTTGATATGGATTTCTAGCGGTAACGCGGTCAGGTGTATTCTCTTTTCACCACTGATCTGGGCTCGTGTCAACACGGACTACTGGCAACCGGCCATGACAAGTGTCTAGAAGGAATCAAAGGCTGCAGTTGGAGAAACATGGACAATGGCACCAGTGGAGCAGATCATGGACGAATCATGGCTCCAGCCATGCACGTGGAGACGAAATTTTCATTCCGGGCGCCACCATGACCGCCTTGACACCATGGCCACGTACCTACAGAGCCACCAAAGCCCGCAACCATCATGCCACACCAATTGCCCGGACATGCATCCATGGATTATGACTAACAAATATCACGACCAGCCTACAGTCTTGCAGTCTTCGCCCTTCCCCTTGCTTCCGGATTGCCTCGCTTGGCACCTTGAATCCCAGCATGATCCTGTCTTTGAGCGGAGAGGGGCAGAAGGCGGTGGAAGAAAGAGAGACACACACACCACAGACATGGGCGGGACAAGACGCCATCGACGATGACTCTTGAGTAATTGTCCTCAAGTGGATTCCCAATTCAAAGGGCGAAATAGAGGACCCAAATGAGCACCTTAAGGAAAGCCCACACAGCACAGGAAAAATGCTAACATAACACCATAGTGAGCCATACTTGTTTGTACGTGGAGTCTAATTCGTCCCTGGGATGTCGCCATCACCAATCGAGATGGCATGTGTCTAAGGCAGGGCTTCGGCTTCCTTTGTCCTCACTTCATTTGGCCTTGTCTGCAGGTTCCCTCGTATTGCGCGTGACGATATAAGGCGATGAGATATTTCCCTCTTCCTCCGACCGGAGAAGTTTGTCGCAAAGAAAAAACACCCCCTAATTACAGCCTTTAAGAGGGAAAAGAAGAAACGAACAAAGATCTGGTTTTCGGCCAGGCCATCCACAATCCTTTTCCTCCTGGGCCCAGTACTCGGTCCCCTCGCTGGCCAGCATCACACGTAAGACTGTGAACGCAGCAAGAGCTGTTGATTTGTTTGGAGTATATCCCATACCTACGTTGTGGAGAAAGTGTCAGGCAAACACGAAACACCAGTGACATCAAAAGGTCTTGCGCCTGTTGGCCTGTTGTCCTGTTGGCGTGCTCGGCTCTGTCCATTGTCTTGTGTACAGCTGATCCCGACTTGTCCACGATTCGAGCCAGCATAACAACCTGGGTTTTTTGAAACAAATACCTCGTCTGGACCTCAGAGCAGCTTACTACCGACCTGACACCCGACCTTCAGTAGCAGCATCCAAAGACTACCGAGCGTGATACTGATACGTGATATTTCTTGAATATCCCTCAAGGACCATTGTCGCTATCGTCACTGAGATATCCCAATTGGTTGTGGGGAGATGGAAGGCTTCGCAAGACACACCTCTGGGTCACCACCACTATACAGTCCAGGCTCCATCGACTCAGATTCCGGCCGATCGACCATAGAGAGAAAGACATCGACATCCTCCACGGCATCCACACACCTCATGAATCCAATCTCGCCACACGTCTCTCCCAAGGTTCAGCTGGTTCCCTATGCTCGCACCGCCAGCTTCGACATCTCACTGTCAGATGCGGAGCGAGAACTCTTGGACAAGGCCTCGACCAACTTCGATGCTCTCGACCTGTCGTCCAAGGACTTTGACTTTGAAGACATCTTCACCTATGACAAACCTCAGAAGAAACTCAACAGGGTCGTCGAGGTGTCGAGGCCAACTCGAGACTACCGTGACTGGTCTTCGTTCTCTTTCTCCCACTATTCGGCTGCTGTCAATGCAAGACAGAAGGTCAACAAAGCCAAGTCAGGCATCGGGGAGTTGTACTTGAAGAACAAGTCGGATGCACAACAAAAGTCGTAAAAACAATGGGGAAAGGGCAGGTGTTTTTGGGTTGAGGGAATCAAAGGTTGGGACTTGGGAGGGCTTATGTCTGTCTTCTTCGCTTCTTCACTCTTCCCCATTCCGACCTCACCTGGTTCAGGCATACCAGCAAGCAATCTAACCTACGAAGAGTACTGGGTGGTTATATTCCTGGCAGGGTCGGGGTTCGGGAAACTCTGGCCACACGGAAAGGATGGTTATGGCTCCCCCAAATGACGGCGTTATGGGGTATCAAAAAAACACAAGGACACACCGCCCAATAAGTGCTTGGAGTTTGGGACTCACTTGAGTTATTTCGGGATATGGGGTGTCAGGTCTCTTCAGGGGAAACTGGCATGATAGACAACATTCTTTTTCGACTCCAAAGGGCAACCTGTTTTGAGCGGACGAGTTTGCCACAAGTTCGCATGGGGAATACGAGGACCTAGAAATAGCAATCTCAATCAACGAGGTAAAGTGCCTGTATGAGGGAGCCTGTTAGGCTTTCAGACCCTTTCAACACGATTTCGCTTGCGCATGCCCTATTTTCGGCCCCGAACCACGCTCCCTTGCGAGAGAGTTGATGCCACGTTATAGTGTTTTGTCGATGGTGTTCGGTACCCGAGCATGAGGCCCAGCCGCCAAAGGGGCTGAGGTTGTACACTTCGACATTCCTTCATACTCGTAGGAATGAAAAGAGAACGCCTGATGGTAGGAAGCTTGGCCCATGCGAGTCGAATTGGAAACAGAAACTTGAGGTACGAGTAATAATGGTCCCTGGGTAAGCAGAATACATGAGAACGAGCATCCTGTTCAGACGCTTTACAAGGACCTCTAGAGGGGGACAAGAAGGCTTCTCTCTATCGTAGACCTTGAGGCATAAAAATCGTAATCTGTGACGTCGGGTCTTCTTTATGGGAACACTGAGGAGAAAAGGGTGAGGTTTGAGGTGCGTTGTACCCCGTACTACTCGGTACCTCGTACTTAGTACACAGTCAGCCTTCAAGGCTTCATGTCACCAGCCTCGGAGGGGCGGCGCACAGACATCTTAAGGGAAGGCTGATGGCATGTAGCAATCTGAAACGCGGTGCAATCTTGCAGGTCTCATGCGCGACCGGATGTGGGGGTTGAAGGGGATGCAGATCCGTCTTGCGTTTGACCTTTGTTTATTTCCCCCCTCTTTTGTTGTCTCTTTGTTGTCCCTAGCGATGAATTTGGGAGAATCTTGCGCATACAGTCAGAAGAGCTTTCTTTAGATTGATTGTTCGAGGGCGGGGGGTTCTTTTATTTTGGGAGCATTGCATCCAAGCTATTGGGATCAAAGGGACTCGGTCAGCATGCATAATCTTTTCCTGGGAGAGTATTGGGCAAGGAGAGCTGGGTCATGGGGATATACACATCACCGGCGAGCTATGTTTGGAGGGCAGCATCTATGAATAATAATATGTAGGTATGAGTAGGTACTCCCAGCTGGATGTTGGGCAATAATTGCACCTGGCAATGGGCGATGGGCAAGTGGATGCGCGCGGCAAATTTCCCGGATCAGGGCCAGAAATAGAAGCAATTACGGGGCCACCCAGGGCCTCATTCAGCCTACTGGATGCTTGGACAGGTAATGGGCATTTTTGGGGGGAAAGGGGCCTTGTTCAGGTGGCCTGCGTGCCTGCGTGCCTGGGCGATTGGCATTGCGTTTCAGGTTGGTGGCTCCTACATGCCCCCCTAGTGCCCCCAAACCAATCATTGTTTGACCCCTTTGGCCCCCTTCATGCCCCGACAACTGCCCTGATCGTTACATGTCATTATGATTCGCTTCTTGTGCCAAAAGGTGAAATCTTGTCCAAGCGCCTAAAAAGAGACTCCCACTGACAGTTTGACGGCCGCGGCGCTGGTGGGCAGCCTGGGTCTACTCGTATTCCTTTGTAGGTAGTAGCTGCTGTATGTTTTCTTTCATCTTCAATCCAGACTCGAAGAAAAACGCACCCTGGTCCTCAACCACCTACCATCATCCTCACTACTGCTCGCACTCGACTCCTCTATCCAGACTATCGATCGCAACCGTCCCTGATCCCTCCTCTGCTCCATCTCCACCCCAGCAACTTCTCCCTCGTGGGCTCGTCTATACCTGGCCCGGTTCAACATTACGCCATCCCGCGTTCACTCTCCTTGCTCATTTGCCAGTCGGCCAAAAGCACCCGGATCCACCCACTACTCGGTGCTTGAAACTCGAGACTCTTGCCCACCTCTCATCGAATACCCAGTACCCCTACCACCTACCGACCACTCCTACCTAGTACTCTTTGTCCACCAGTCCTCGACTTCAAGCCTCAACCTGTCGCATAGTCCTCTTTCAATTCCACTTTGCCGCCCGTCCTCGGTTTCTTTGATTCGAACGAAAAAGCCGCCGAGTTGCTGTCAACTAATCGTCTCTGGTCCTCCCCCTCCTTTGCGACTTCGCCTTTTATTGACCTTCAGGTCGCATTCCTCTACTCCGGATTTCTGTCGCGCATACACTCTATAGCCTTTTGCACGACCAAGTAGTCTGTTGCTTGTCACCCCCCGACCGAAAATCCCACATCCCAAATCCGTATTACACTCTGTGACTTTGGTGGAGACATCATCGTCGGAGAACGAACGCGGCCAAGGAGGAAAGCCTGACTTGCTGCGCCGCACACTTTGGATACGCGCTGAATCTGAAACTGCGGAGGACCGAACCCAGCACGAACAACCACCGCCGTCTCTCCTTCCAGGGATACTCTAGGGGACCTGCTGCAACAGGGACAAGGAATCCATCCTCGCTTTTGTTTTGTGTCGCATGCCTCACCGTTGTTGCGCCGCGATTGACCGTTCCGGATACCATTAAACTCTTCTGGATTGTTTTGAGACCTCAACTTCGACCACAGTCATTGTATGTCAGTACCAAGTCCTCGCCACTCCCTCTTGCCGTCTGACCTGCAGAGACTTATGTGCTGGTGCCATGGTCCTTCAACACGCCTTCGTCGTCATCACCACTCGTCATCATGTTGAGAGACTCAATGGACTTTCTTGCTAACAATCATCAGCGCAAAAGGTCTTTTGACTTGGCCAACAACCACCAAGACGTCACGAGTACAATCCGCCGCTGTGTTCGGCATGGCTCAGCTTCGACGGCTTTGCCAGTAGGCTGCGTTGAATCCTCCCAAATCCCCGGGTCCTCCAGCAAGAGACGACCACCTCTCTACTACCAAACCAAATACTCGAATATGCCCCCGGTCGAGGTGGGCTCGATCATGTCAACACCATTTCCGTCCTTCATGTCAATTGTTGGAAAGCCCGATACAAGCATCTTGAAGGCGATGGAAGAGTTGACGGCCGCTTCGGAGACAATACCTGAGAGTGACACCCAAATCCTCGTCACCGACGCAAGTCCTCTTCCTGCAGACTCGACTGTGCCGCACTCTGCTCTCTGCTTACACCATCGCGACAGCGTCACCTCCATGACGTCCGCCTCTACAGAATCCTCACCTACGACCACCAACTCAACCTTCGATTCTCCCTTGATCACAGACTCTTCTCCCTCTTCGTCCCCCGAATCAGCCTCCTCTAACGCTCCCGTATCCCCTTTTCGAAACATAATGGTTGGACCCTCAACAGAACACCCGGGGAACCTTGGACAGCAATCAGTACCGACAATCAGAGAAAACGCGAACGGCCTGCCAACGAAGCCTGCCTTGGTTCCAGAGCTCCCCAAGAATGTCAAGAACCTGTCGCTGAATATGAGCGCGGTCGTGCTACCCCGCCCTTCGACTGCACATGGATTCGAATCCCATGCATTCTCCGCTCCCGTCTCACCCTCCAAAGACACTCCTCGAACAGGAAGGAAAAAGCCGACCAATCTCACAATCAGAACCCCCGGCTTTCAACAGCTAACCTTTAACCGAGCATTGGATGTGCCTCCAACGCCCAGCTCTCGACCATCGTTACATCATATGGCGTCTTCACCGGCTCTCGCCTCCCTAGCTTCCCCTACCAAACCTCCTCCTGGGGGGCTGTTCCTGCATTTACCCGCCTCTGGCACTGTTATGTCCGGGTCTGGGTTGGAATCAAGCAATGCAGTTCAGTCTGTCAACCCTCAGCTTCCAGAGTTGAAAGAAGAGGACGAATTCCACCCGCAAAAATCACAGGAAACTCAAGAAAGGGGATACCCCAAGGGACCAGTCCTGATTTACGACAGCGGAGTTTATCTGTACTTGGAGCCGACGGCACAAGAGGCAAGCCAGTTCGACATGGTCATCAATGTTGCCAAGGAAATAAAAATCCCTTTTGATTTGGGACATCCGAAGCTCGAGATGGAACCCCAGACCGCCATTTCGGAAATGTCATTCAAGTCGGCTTGGGAGTGGCCTCGACCCAACGAGACTCCAACACCCACCACACCTCGGCCAAACTCGTTCGCTCAGCGCCCGCAACCCGAATACTTACATGTACCATGGGATCATAATTCGGAGATATTGGAAGATCTGTACTGCCTATGTCGACTAATTGATGAAAGAATACAAGCGGGTAAAAAGGTCTTAATACACTGCCAATTAGGAGTCAGTCGGTCAGCCTCACTGGTCATCGCGTACGGCCTGTATAAAGGCTATCAGCCGGATTTCCACTCGATGTATATGGCGGTGAAGCAACGGAGTGAATGGGTCGGACCCAACATGAGCTTGATCTATCAATTGACAGACTTCCGGTCAAAAGTTGTCAAAGGAGTCTATGGCGATCACTGCAACAACCCCAAAGCGAGCTGGTGGAAGATACCATCGTCGGGCTCTCCTCTCATGGACACACCAGTTGCGAAGCAATCTTCCTGGTTCGGTGACCGGGCACCGGCTCAGACGGGTGCTTTTGCCACGGACCCTTATGAGAAAGCACCCCCACCGCTGAGACTTGATAAGGCCCTTCCTCCAGTGCCACTGTTTCCCAGGAATGAACGAGCAGATTCGATAGCTACACCAGCCAAGTTGAGCCAGATT